AAATCAAAATATATTTATTTTGTAAGTTTTATCCAAATTGAATAACTTTTAATAAATACAATTTTGCATATTACTTTTGATAAATTTTTTAAAATTTCTTTAAATTTTATATTCATTATATATAAAAATTAAAAGTTAATTAATAAAAAGTTATTTAATTTATATAAAACTTTCAAATATATATAATATTATCTCCTAAATAACTTTTACTTAATATATATAATCAATTTACTTAATAAAATTTTTGCAATTGGCAAATAACTTTTATTTAAATTCAAACTCAAACTAGTTTGCAAACTTCAAACCAAACTCAAACCAAACTTATGATGAAGTTTGAATTTAGTTTGAGTTTGAAAATTAATAAAATTTATAGTTTGAGTTTGATAAAAATACCAAACCAAACCCAAACTCAAACTATTCAAACCAAACTTAGTTACTCTAAGGTGGGTTATTCTATATAATCCTTATCTTTTCACTAAATACAATTATTTAAATGTAGAAATTTGTTCTTTTATTACTGCTATGGAATGTCTTTTTAAGTATGTTTATAAAGGTTATAATTATGCTACTATAAAAATAAGAAGCCAAAACCAAGAACACAAATAGAGATCTAATAAAAATGAAATAAGAATTTATCTAAATGCTCAATATATATCTGCATCTAAAGCTTCATGGTGCTTATTTCACTATCAGCTATATATTAGAAGTTTATCTGTTCTACTTCTTCAAGTTTATCTTCTCAGACAACAAAGAGTATTATTTAGGGATGACTCTACTTGAGAATATCTTGCTGAAACTGCTTCTAATGAAACATCAACCCTTATGGCATGGTTCAAAACCAACTCTAATTATCTGAATGCATGAAATCCTATATATAAAAACTTTTTATTACATGAATTTTTGATAAATACACAAAATTATGAAAACCAAAAAAAAGTGGTAGTGTAATTGGGAAAATATATTTCATTTATCTTTATAGCAGGTAAACATTATTATCTGTGCCTTCTACTCAATATAATTTCTAGCATTACCTTTTTTAATAATAATTGCACTATAAATGGAGTTTTGTATTCAATTTTCAAACAAACTTGTGCTGCTTTAGGGTTACTTCAAAATTATAATAAATGGGATTGCTGTTTAGCTAAAGCTTCTCAAATTAGATCTAAAGCACATCTATAAAATTTGTTTGCTACTCTTTTTTTGTTTTGTAATTCATTATATTCTGAACAATATTAGAAGAAGTATATTTATTTTTTTAGTAAAGATATTTGTTTTCATACCAATAATAGTGAACATCTACTTACTGAAGCTGAGATATACAATCTAGTCTTACTTCACTTAAAATCAATTTTATGCAGACATGGCAAATCACTTACAGACTTTCCTAATATGCCTATACCAATTATATTCGATAATACTAACTCACTAATTAGTGAAGAACAAAATTATAATATTGATGAGTTAATATGTATAGTTAAATATAGAATATCTCAATTAAATAAAAACTAATTTACAATTTTCAATAATGTCATCAATGCTGTAAAAACCCAAAATCCTTCTGTATTTTCATTAATGGTCTCAATGGAACAAAAAAAAACATTTCTTTATAAGTAAAAATTTATTTTCTTTTTTAGTTCTATTTATTTTCTTATATTTTAATATATATATATTTAATATATAGTATTTTACTTGCCAAGATTCACCTAAATCATCATATTGCTCTCACAATAGCATCTTCTGAAATTGCTTTACTCCTTTTGCCAGGTGGTTATACTGCATATCTAGATTCAAAATTCTTATTAATTTAACAGAAACTTCTATCTACTTTATTTCTCATGATATTGAATTGTTTTTGCTTTTACAAAAAATTCATTTAATCATATAGGATGAAGCACTAATGGCCAATAGATATACATCTGAAGATCTTGATAAAACTTTGAAAGATATTATAAAAGCTACCAATCCATCCTTAAAAGAAATTCTATTTGGAGGTAAGGTTGTAGTATTTGGCAATAATTTTCACCAAATTCTTCTTATCATCCTAAAAGGTGGTAGAGAAGATATTGTAGGCTTATATTTACAATGCTTCTATTTATAGAACTATATTGAAATTTTATCTTTAAATATAAATATACACCTTCATCATTGTACTAATTCTAAGCAAGAAAACTTTGCAAAATGGCTCATTGCACTTGAAGAAGGTTGAATTCTTACTACTGGACCAGAACATGATAAAATTCAACTTCTAAAAGATCTTATTTTCTTTTCTTAACAGTTAAAAAATCTTATACAATTTGTTTATTCTGAATTTTCTTCACATTTTGATTCTTAATATTTAGTTAAACATGTGATACTTACATCTAAAAATGAATACATTAATACTATTAATTCAACTATTATAGCTCAATTTTCTAAAAATTCTACTGACTATCTTAGTGCTGATATAATTAAAAATTATACTGAATTTGAACATCTGTATCCTATAGAATATATTAACTTCTTACATATTAACAGTCTTCCTCCTCATAAGTTAACTTTAAAACTTAAAGTTTTTATTATTTTATTACACAATATTAGTCATTTTGATAATCTTTATAATGGAACAAGATTAGTATGCCATTCTTTTCATAGATATGTTATTGAAGCTGAAATTCTTACTGGAAAGCATTTCAGAAATTACAATTTTCTTTCTTGCATTACTTTTTTTCCTTCAACATCTGATTTACTTTTTGCCTTTAGACATCGTCAATTCTCAATTCAACCTGCTTTTGCCCTAACAATCAATAAGTAACAAGGCTAACCTTTAAATTATGTTGGCTTATATCTATCAGCACCCATCTTTTCTTATAGCCAATTATATATTGACTATTCTAGAGTTACTTTTTGACATAATTTAAAACTTCTTATTACTAATTCTAATACTCAAAATACTAATCATATTGCTATTACTTCTAACATTGTTTATTCTGAAAATTTTTAATAGATTTTCATCACTATACTCTTTACTACCTATTACTACTTTAATTCAAAAGATATTTCAATTATAAAATGTAAGTATTTTTATTTTACACTTATTTTTAAAATTCTATTCTATTAATAACTTAAATCAAACTTATCTCTACTTTTATTATTAATTACCTGATTATTCTATTCTTACTATATATACACCACCTTTTTCAATTAAATATATTTCTAACTCAAACTTATATTCATCTTAATAGATGATTCTCCAGTGAACTGAAGAATTCTCATAGTATAATGCAACACAGTTCTATAAGTAAATTATATAAAGGAAAATGTAAAGATTTTTTAAAGAAATGTAGCATTTGTACAAGGAAAACTTTTTTTTTACTAAGTAAATCATCCTTGGGCTTCTAATAAAAGTTGTAAAGCTTATCAAAATGCATCTAATAGTAGTAAGAATGTTAAAATTAGCTTGATAGTTCTTGAAAAATCTTTAAAAAACGGTTCACTAACATATAAAACTTCTTTAAAGAAAATCAAATTTTTAAAGGAAATTTTATATAGTCAGTGAAACATTTTTTAAAGATTTCTTAAGAACCACCAAGCCAAATTTATTGTTCTTACCACCATTAGATGCATCTTAATGAGCTTTACAACTTTTGTTAAAAGCCCAAAGGTAATTTATTTGTAAGAAAAAAGTTTTTTTTGAACAAATGCCACATTTCCATCTTAAGAGATTTATATAGAACTGAGTTGCATTTCACTATGATAATTCTTCAGTTCACTGGAGGATTATCAATTAATATATCTTTATATAAATACTACACCCATTTTCTACTAAATTATTCTATTCAATTTACCTAATATATTTATACAATTATTTTATAATTATCTTTTTACTTATTACACTATATAATATATACTAACTATTTATGTTTATTACTATCTATTTTTAACTTCTTACTTATTTACTATATATACTGTTAGCTTACATATCTTAATTTATTATTTTAATATTACTGTAATGTAAAAATTTCTCAACTACTCTTTCAAATAATTGTTATGTTGCCCTAATAATATTACTATCATTTTTTGCTTCATAACCAGCTTTATTTATTTACTTTTTTATATCTACCATATATATTTGATTTATATACCATATTTAATATAAAACTTATAATTACCTATTATCTTATTCTAATAAAAAGTCGATCATATTACTCAACACAAAAAATATTGCTTTCTTTTAGAAATCAATTATAACTCAAAGATTCAATTATGAAATCACCTTTCGATTATTAATAAAATAAATTCCTTCTATATTTTACTATAAACTATCCCCCAAACACCCTTACACTAACCTTAATCGTCGCTCACTTTTTTTCTTTATACAAATTATTTTGCTTTATACGATACACAAATTTACCATTTAATACCCATGTACAACACACTACCAGTAAAATAAACACTTTTGAATTATCTATTGTATAAATTATTTATTATTTATACATCTAAAACCGGAAGCGAAGCGACGGGTTATCGTTATATACTCTAGTATCCAAATAAAAAAATATTATTTATATGGGTAATCTAAACGTTACACCATGTGATCCCAACCGGTTTTAATATATTAGTAGATGATAATCTGGTGTTATTTTTAAGGGGTTATAAAAAATTTAATTAGATGATCATCCTAGTATAGTGTAGTGTAGGGGAGTTGGGCGTCAATCACCAGATTGGCAGGGTGAATTCTCGTTCAATTCCCTGCGTAGTACACTCCGAAAAATATTCGGTGTAGAATATGAAGACGAGTGTCACACTTACAGTATCAGGAATGATAAATATTTTTTATATGATTTTAGAAATTTGCTCTATTGAGATAAAAAACGTTAATATGCCTCCAAAGAGGTTTACATTATGTATCTTTTAATTTTGGAGTTGTGCGCTTTAATATTCTAATTACAGTATTTAATAATAATAAGTTTGGATTTTGTCGATCTGCTAAATTTTGGTTACAATAAATAAATATCAATCACATGAGTTTAATTTTTAATCTTTTATTTTTAGCACCGATAAGAACACCACGCTGATATTAGCGCTTTTCCACTAGTTTTGGCACTTTCTAAGAACATCACTCCGATTTCAACATTTTTCAAGAACACCACGCCGATTTCAACACTTTTCAAGAATACTACGCCGGTATTGGCTCTTTTCAAGAACACCATGCTGATACTACGATGGTTTCAACACAACTTCTTTGAATCCCTCTAGTAATATCTTTTTGAAGGAGTAAATCGCTAGCAAATGCACTGGCAAGGATTCACTCTAACTTCTTGAAAATCTCAACAATAAATAACCTTTGATTAGAAGAACAGGCATTTACATATCAGCTTTGCAAGAACACACCCGGGAATACTGTAATAACCTTGAATAAAAGATAGAAAATTATTTGTAGATTTGCTTTACAATAACATCACACTTGGATTTCGAATCTTGCTAGTAACAACGTTGGATCAGAAGGAAGAAAAGCATTTGCAGGTAAGTTTTGAAAAAAGCAATGCTGTCTTTTTTAGTTGTAAGTAATAACTTTGGATCAAAGAAAAAAGGCATTTTCAGATACATTTTGCAAGAACGTGCTGACTTTTTTTGGATCTTGGTTCGAATGGAATTGGATCGAATGAAGAAAAGGCACTTCTTGAATCTTTATCGGAATAATCCTGGATCGAAAGAAGGAAAAACATTAGCATATGCATTTTACAAGAACACCACGTTGACTTCTTTGAATCTTAGTTTGAATAAATTGGATCGAATAGTACAAAAGCTTTAGCCGTTGACTTCCTGACCTTTATCAGAATATTCCTGAATCGAAACAAGACAGAAACTGGGTCAGATAGAGGTAAAGCATGATCAGATGCACTTTGCAAGACTCTACGCTGACTTCTTTTGATTTTATATGTGGAAATATGTCATAAAAAAGTGCATTTGAATATAATTTGGAATTTTTGATAATTTTTTTTTCACCTACAGTTTCTGAATGTGGTAACTACAATGAGCCATGAAGTATCGGTTACAGCTGCAGAAATTGCATACAATAGATGTAGCTAAGAATAAAAAAGGGCATCCGAGTGTCTGTTGAAGGTTGTAATTCGAGTGATCTTTAATCTGTTATAGCATAAAAAAGCATTTGAATTGTGTTTAAAATCTGCTGAAGGGGACGATATACCAGATTACCTGCTATGCATTGGAGTTGTTTTCAGTAAGTAAATTTTCTTTTTTTTTCTTCATGTTTTCTTTCATTACTGTTTTAAATATAACAACTCTAATGAGTAGTGTAGTCTTGAACATAGTTACAGAATTGGCAGACACATCTAAGAATGAAAAAAGAATTTGATGAAGTTTGTAATTCAATACACTTGTGGCCTTGGAACATGCAATGGTAAAAATATATGCATAAAAATAGTATTTGGATGGTATTTAAAATTTGTTTCTATCTTTTTTTCACCTGCAGTTTCTGAACATTGGACTGTGTAGTCTTTGACACAGCTACAAAAACGGTATATATACAACTATAAAAAAGCATTTTAATGGTGGCTAAATTCTGCTGAAGGGGCAATATAGTAGAAAATCTGCTGCGTTTTGGAGCGTTTTTTATAAGTAAATTTTTTTTTCTGTTTTCTTTTCTGGTATTTTTTCACCCTACTGTTTCAATACTTCGTGTAGTTTTAGATACTACGGAAATGACAGACACATCAAAGGATGAAAAAATGGCTTTTAAATGGTGTTTAGAATCTGAAAAAAGTTGCAATTCGAACGGACTGGTGTCTTTGGAACCTACTGCGCTGAAGATCCGAAAATGAAAAAGTATTCGAATTGTATTAAAAATTGTTTCTTAAGAACAGTTTCTGAACGTGGCAACTCTAACGAAGCGTTTATAATAAAAATTAGGATTGATATTATGAATAGTGTAGTAAGCCTTCGTGAAGTATTAGTTACGCAATAATATCCAAAATATGTATTTCACTTATTTCCCTCAAATAAATAAAAATTTATCCATAAATATTACAATGTATTAATACTACAATGTTGTATAATTTTAATTTTAGTTATTATTTTTTATTTAATTTTCAATTATATGTATATGTTAGACGTCGTTTTTAAATTTCGTTCAATTAAAAATTATGTTAGACGTCGCTTTTAAATTTCGTTCAATTAAAAATTGCGATTAAAATGTAACGTACGTATGTAATTTAACGTATGTCAATTAAACTCACGTTTAATAGAAGTTAATAAATTAATTGATTAGAAAAAAACAAAACGATCTTTTTACCTTTCGCAACATGGCTTCAAATTCTTCACAAGTTTTTTTTTTTATTTTTTTCATTTCAAAATTTCAAAAATCGTTGATAATTATATGAACGATAGAAAAAATAAAAGACATATAATGAATCGTTCAAAGTATAATTGCTGCCTGGCTATTTTACAAAACCGACCACTAAGATCACTTCAAAATATCACAAATGAAATATCCAACCAAGAAACTAAACAAAATTCAAAGAAAAATGATGGTTGTCATTGTAATAAAAAGAATTGTGAAAGTAGGAGTTGTTCTTGTCGCAAGAACAATGTCCTTTGTACTTTTCGCTGTGGTTGTGTTCGCCGAGGTGTATGCAAAAATCATTGATTTTTTTATTGCTAAATAGCTTTATTTTTTTATGCATTAACATTTTTTAAATTTAAAAGCTTCCTGTAGTGCTTAAAGTTGTTTAATCTTTAACCGTAATGAAGGTTAAAATACGTTGTTTAATCTTTAACCGTAATGAAGGTTAAATACAATAATTAATAAAATTATTGATTTGCGTTGCAAATTATTGTGTTTATTGTGAATATATTTTTTTAGTTACGATCTTTTTTTTAATTAATATTTTTTTTTGATGCGATTTTTTTTTAATCAATAAAATCGTACTGATACCGATTAAAATATGAAGTACGTTAATTTATGATTTCGAAGCTACGTACTTCAATTTTTAATTGAACAAAATTCGAAAGCGACGTCTAACATTAATAGCATTTTTATTTATTTATTTTTTTATAACAATAATACTGGAATAATGATGGATAGTAATTTCGATATAATTTTTATTTATTTGAGTGAAAAAATACATATTTTGGATATTATTGCATAACTAATACCATCACGAATGAATGCAAATGCGTACTTTACTATTTATAATATTAATCTTAATTTTTACAATAAACACTTCGTTAGAATTTCCACGTACAAAAACTATATGTAAAAAAAATTTTTAATACCATTCGAATGCTTGTTCATGTTCGTATCTTCACCAGTCCATTCGAATTGCAGATTCTGAACACCATTCAAATGCCATTTTTTTCATCATCAGACGTGTCTATGTCATTTCCGTAGCGGTGTCAAAGCTATACTAATTACTGTATTAAAATAAACAGTAGGTGAAAAAGAAAAAAACCCCACCCTAGAAAAGAAAAAAAAAAAATACCAAAGCGTAGAAGATGGTCTAGTATATGAGTGTCGCTAAAAGAAAACCCAAAAATTTAAATATAATCTATATTTAAATTGTCGGGTTTTCTTTTAACAACACTCATATTGTCCAATTCAGCAGATTTTAGCCACCATTCAAATACTTTTTTATGCCAATATCTCCGCTATAGTAGATTCCACTCAGTCCATTAGGATTACAACTCTCAGATGTTCTTTTTTATCCTTAGTTGAATATATACCATTCCTGTAGTTGTGTCAAAGACTACATGGCCCGTTATGCATGTATTTTCATCAAATTACAAACACCATTTTTTTCATTCTTAGATGTATCTCTGTCATTTCTGCAACAATGTTCAAGCCACACTTCTCATTAGAATTACCATCTTTAAAACAGTATATAGAAAAAAAACACAGAAAAAAAAATAAAAAGAAAAAATTTACTTACCAAAAACAACTCCAAATCATAGCAGATAATCTAGTGTATCGTCCCCTTCAGCAGATTTTAGCCACAATTCAAATGCTTTTTTGATACTCAGATGCCTTTTTTTATCATTAGCACTCTCTGTAGTGTATCCGATACTACATGCTCGTTGGAGTTACCACATTCAGAAACTGTGGTGAAAAAAAATTATTTACCAAAACAAATTTCAAATTTTATTCAAACGCTTTTTTTCATACACCTCTAACTTATCCAGTTTCATTCGAACTATGTAGGTGTTGTGCTCTTGTAAAACGTATCAGTTAATTCTTTCTTTTTTCGAGTCAGAATTATTCCGATAAAGATTCAAGAAGTCAACGACCAAAGCTTTTCCACCGACTGATCCAATTTATTTGAACTAAGATTCAAAGAAGTCAGCGTGATATTCTTGTAAAATGTAAAATGCATCTGCTAATTTTTTCCCTCTTTCGATCCAGGATTATTCCGATAAAGATTCAAGAAGAAACCTAGAGTTCTTATAAAGTATACCGCTAATGCTTTTTCTTCATTCGATCCAAGATTCAAAAAAGTCAGCATGTTCTTGCAAAAGGTATCTGGAAATGCCTTTTCTTTTTGATCCAAAGTTATTACCTACAATAATTAAAAAAGACAAGCATAGCTTTTTGCAAAACTTACCTACAAATACTTTTCTTCCTTCTGGTCCAACGTTGTTACTAGCAAGATTCAAAAAATCCAAGTGTAATGTTATTGTAAATACTGTTCCTTCTTTTATTCAAGGTTATTACAGTATTACCGGGTGTTTTTGCAAAGCTGATATATAAATGCCTGTTCTTCTAATCCAAGGTTATTTATTGTTGAGATTTTCAAGTATCCGGTGTGGTTCATTATCACGAAATGATCTACAAAATTGGCCAATCACAATGAATGTTATGCATATGCAAAATATAAATAGATGTAAAAAAAAAATTTGGACTTTTATCAGATACTTTGTAACGTAACGTGAATCATTATATCAATATTGTTGGAGCGATCCAGAAGTAAAAAATTCATAGAAAGGCTCCTTTCAATATTAAATGAAGAAGAAAAGGCTTTATTAAGTTCTTTTAAAATTATCCTTACAAGTCCAAGTCAAGCAAATTCACTATTTGAGTATACAAAATTTATCACTTCGGTTACGGAAGATTTGTATGATGGTATTAGAGAATGGCTTCATGATGGTGTTAACAAAGGAGATGAGCTTGAAAATGCTATTAAACATTCTTTAATTACAATGATTCTGAGAGCTTGCAAAAATCTTAAACAATTATATCTTAAAAAATGTTTAATAACACTACAGTTACCTCTGTAGATTTTTATCTTCGGTATGACGCCAAGACTGATTTTATATCTAAGGCAATAGATGGATTAGTAAAGAACTTCGAGGAAAACACGACCTTGACTTCGTTAAATCTTAGATCAATTCTACTTGGGAAGGAAAGAATGAAACTATTATTGACGTTTCTTTATAAAAACTCTGCCCTAAATACTTTAGGAATTTATGATCATCAAATTAGTAACGAAGGGGGAAGGATGCTAGCAAATTATCTTTGCAAAACCACAACATTAACTTCTTTAAATATTTGTGGAAGGCCACCTGTCGATAATCATGGAAGGCGACTTGTTGATAATTTTGGAAGGCCGCTTGTTGATAACCATGGATTAAACATAGGAAAAGAATTAGTAAGAGTTGCTTCGTAAGAATAATATTCTGAAAAATTTGAAACTTCGATATTATAATTTAGAATCAGGAGAGCAAGCATTAGCAGGTGCACTTAGCGAAAACACTGAATTGATTTCTCTGGACCTTTGTTGTAATAGTATTCGATCAAAAGTAGGACAAGCATTAGCAGATGCACTTTGCAAGAACACCACATTGATTTCTTTGAATCTTCGCCGAAATTATCTTGGATCGGAAGGAGGAAAATTATTAGCTGAGCATTTTGCTAGAACTCTACCCTAATCTCATTGGATATTAGTTATAATAATCTTGGATCGGGAGGAGGAAGAGCATTTTTCATTGCACTTTGCAAGAACATCTCACTAAAAAATTTGAGCCTCGAACAAAACAAATTTGGATCAAAAGAAAAAAGTGCATTAGCTGATGCACTTTGCAAAAACACTACGCTTACTTCTTTGAGTCTTTGAATCTTTAATCCAATAATAAATTTTGAACAAATATTTAACATGTTATTATATTAAATGTAATACAATTAATTATTAATAAAATATTGAAAGAAAAGATATGATTAATTCGTATTCAAAAAAAGACTCGTATTGAATCTAAATTAAAGATGATGTTTACAATTAATAACTTAATAAAAAAATAATACAGTAATTAAAGATAATCATACAGTAATGTAGTATTAATAAATGCAATAGATTAAAATATGTTGTTGGAGTAAGGTACTTCAAAGTAACTCCAAAGTATAGCCCATTCCATATCGGTGTGGTTTGGACATAATACTAACCTCAGATTATTAAAATAGTAATACTATGGTCTATACATCGGAGTATTATGTATAAATTTTCATCGTTTGTACCATAAAGATCCTTATCATTTCACCAACAATTACTTTACTGACAACTTAGTTCACCAATGATTAATTCACCAGAATTACCTTGTCAATAAAATGTGAGCTTGTCTGTAACATATGGGCGATTTTTTTTTTGAATCTGGCAATTATTAAAAATTAAATCATTTATGTGATATTTGTATTTGATTGGTATTGGTCAATTGTCAATAGCTAGCTTAGCTATAATCCACTTATAAATCTCTTATGAAACCGTTTATGAAACCACATAATAATTGTCGGGATCATGTTGAAACTTGAGGTCTCGATTTAACAATATAAACTCTACTAAAATCCACCTATATATCTTTTTATTATAAACACTGACCCTAAACCCTAACCTAACCTAACTACAAAAAAAAAGCTAAAAAAAAATATCTCAAAAAATTTTAAAATTTCATATTAAAAAATAATTCAAAATTTCAACATTATCC